TCCTTAGAAAGGACAACTGAGAAATAGGCCCTGGTTCCATTCTAAATAATTTATAATTCAGAGGCATTGGGTAAGGCAGTCTCTTTAGTACATATATAAACACATTAGAACTGGGGTTATTCATTTATTTATTTTTAAAAGATTTTATTTATTTGACAGAGAGAGACACAGTGAGAGAGGGAACACAAGCAGGGGGAGTGGGAGAGGGAGAAGCAGGCTTCCCGCTGAGCAGGGAGCTGGACACAAGGCTCGATCCCAGGACCCTGGGATCATGACCTGAGCCAAAGGCAGACGCTTAACACTGAACAACTGAGCCACCCACGCACTCCAACTGGGGTCATTTAAATGGATGTGGAAGGAGCAGTCTTAGGTGGGGAATTCAGAATTAGAGATTACAGTACTGTAAGCATTTATATGCGATTTCTTCAACAGTCATGACTCTTAGGTTTCGTGTTTTAATTCATAAAAGAGAACAAGTAGAACACCATTCTGTGTAATACAGGTTTCTTTAGTGGATAATTAAATCACAGATTATTATTCTTACAGGTTCTTAAGGGTTCTTCAGAAATTTTTGTATTAGGAAGTAATCTTCTTATGGAAACTATGTTATAAATGGTAGTTAGGTTTCCATCTCAGGGCATTAAAAAGATAGCTTTTAATGTTTGTGTAGTATGGTAGGTAGTTTGGTACTACCTGAAAGGTTTATAGGTGGAATGGTAAACAGGACGGGAACAGGATTTCCTTGCTTGTTCCTTAGATACTGCCTAAGGCTTCTCCTGTAATTCAAGACTGCTCCCTGCAGGTGGGAAAGTTAGGCATTACACAACTCTAGGGACTCCATTTGCATCCTTTGTGGTAATAGTGCCCATGGAGTTTTGTGCTTCCAAGACCTGTGTCACCTTAATAATTAAAAAAATTTTTTTTTTTAAAGATTTTATTTATTTATTTGACAAAGACATAGCAAGAGAGGGAACACAAGCAGGGGGAGTAGGAGAGGAAGAAGCAGGCCTCCCCGCGGAGCAGGGAGCCCGATGTGGGGCTCGATCCCAGGGTCCTGGGATCAGGACCTGAGCCGAAGGCAGACGCTCAATGACTGAGCCACCCAGGCGCCCCCACCTTAATAATTTAAAGGGGGAAATTTTTTTTAATCTCGTAAGCGATTTTAATATTTTCACAACTATCAAATAATTCAGTTTTATTTTTTATTTTTTTAAAAGATTTTATTTACTAGCGTGAGAGAGTGTGTGAGAGAGAGAGCACAAGTGTGAGAGAGAGGGGGAGCTGCAGAAGGAGAGGGAGAAGCAGGCTCCCCGCTGAGTAGGGAGCCTGATGGGGGGCTCCATCCCAGGACCCCGGGATCATGACCTGAGCTGAACACAGACCCTTGAAAGCAGGCACTTAACCAACTGAGCCACCCAGGCGCCCCCAAATAGTTCAGTTTTTAATGGAGAGTTATTTGCCTTGTAAATTCAATCTGGTTCAAATCTTGACTTGCTTTATAAATTCAGAGCTGTTTTCCAATGGTCAAGGTCCCACAGGGGTTTGAATATAAAACATTTGGCTGGGTGGGGTTTAAAATGGTAGTAAAAACACTCCTTCAAGATGTTTTGTATTACAATAAAGTCTTATAGTTGATGTAGTCTCTGCAGGTCTTTGTTAGCCAAGTAGGTCCACATACTTTTAAAAGCACACTGAATTAATTTATGCCAAATGTGGTCACAGGGATGATTTATAAGCAGAATACCTGTATTGATTTACAGTGGGCACCTTCTTGGGCTCTGATCATCACTACCTTGGCAAGTTATTTCAGTTGGAATGTAGCATAATTTAATTGAATCTAACATGCATCAGTTATGCGATTCTTTATGTATTACTAAAGAAGAAATCATACTGTGAAGTAAGCTCTGCCAGAGTTTTTTAATTGCTTAAAATTTTTATTTTACATTTTTTTCCGTTCAGTCGTCTGCAATGGCTCTCTTATTTTACATTTTTAGATTCAAAAGACATTTTTTGAATAATTTTTGAAATTATTTTTTAAGTACTCTCTACACCCAACATGGGGCTCGAAGTCATGACCAAGATCAAGAGTTGCATGCTTTTTTTTTTTTTTTTAAAGATTTTACATATGAGAGAGAGTTTGCATGCGCGCGCACACACACGCACGCATGCACGTGGGTGCATACGAGTGAACAAGCACGAGCTGGGGGAGGGGCAGAGGGAGAAGGAGTGGCAGACTTCCCACTGAGCAGGGAGCCCGACTCAGGGCTGATCCCAGGACCCTGAGATCATGACCGGAACTGAAGTCCGACGCTTCAGGGAGTGAGCCACCCAGGTGCTCCAAGAGTTGCATGCTCTTCTAACTGAGCCAGCCTGGTGCCCATTATTTTACTTTTTTTTTTTTTTATTTGCTAGAGAGAGAGAGACAGTGAGAGAGGGAACACAAGCAGAGGGGGAGTGGGAGAAGGAGCAGCAGGCTTCCCGCTGAGCAGGGAGCCTGATGCAGGGCTCTATCCCAGGACCCTGGGATCATGACCTGAGCCGAAGGCAGACGCTTATCTACTGAGCCATCCAAGAGCCCCTATTTTACATTTTTAAAAAAGTTCTTTTAAACTTATTTAGCAAAAAAGTCTAATAGATTTTTATTATATGGTATATATTTTGTGTATATGTTAGAATAGAAGTGAAATAAATTGGTTAAGGTATTCCTCAGATTTCTACATATTATGTCTGATTCTTCTAAATAATGAAAAATTTAGGATTATGGAAGTTTCCTTCCTCTCCTCTCCCCACCAATGTTTTGTCAGGTTATTAAGGGTATTAATAATGAAATGTTTCTTAGGGGACTGCTCCATTGTTTTCTCATCAATTTAAAATACAGTGATTTGGTGCTTCTGAAGTTCTTAAGTCTAAGTTGTTTAATTTTTCCCCTTTAAATACTTTGGCGCTGGTGCATGTGGCCACATGTGGGTTGTGCATTGTCTAGTCTCAGTAGCAAAGCTTCATCTACATGTGGTTTTTTTGGTTCTTTTCCTCAGGTTCTGTAAGGCACCTACAATCATTTCTCTGATGACAAAAAGTTACTTCACTAATTTCCCATTGCTGTATTTGCTTTCTTTTCTATTATATACTACATTTCGCTTCAATTTAGAATCATTTTATAATCTTTTCAGAGACATTTTAAGCAACAGTTTAAAATTGGGTACTAGCAACAATACAGTTGAAAGGATGATAGTAAAGAGCTATGACCAAGTTTACCATGGGCAGACAGTGACAACTGTGGCACAGCTTCCTTTGGGTGAGAGCAGTGGTAACAGGACACTAAGATGTATTCCAATTTCAGAGAGGTTAAAATGCGGAAAACCATGTATCTTACGTGTTCTTTTTTGAATTACCAGTTGCTTAAGAGGTAGGGAGGGCACTAAGTTGATCTCAGCTTGAGTCTGGTGTGCAAGCTTGCGGGGCCAGGTAGCAGGGAATCAGAGTTAAGTTAGAGAATATGGGTGTGTCCCTGGAGCCCTCAGGGTTAAACTAGAGCTAGAAATACCTTCCAGAAGGAGGGCAGATAAATTATTTTTTAGTTACTTTTATTTTGTATTTTTCCTCACCTGCTAAGCTTTCCCCCCTTTTCTTTTTTCCCCAGAAGGCAGATAAATTAGTAGCTGATTATGGATGTTAACATACTTTTACTTTCCCGTTTCTGCATTTTTGACCAGTTTCTAGTTAATATTTTTAAGCAATCTCTACACCCAATGTGGGGCTTGAACCCACAACCCCGAGATCAAGAGTTGAATGCTCTACTGACTGAGCCAGCCAGATGCCGTGAGGCATTTTTTTCTAGTCAATTATTTTTAGATCTTCTAAACAGAAATAAAAGTGTGATGTGAATTTATCTTGGAGATATTTACAGTATATTTATAGTATTTATAGTATTTTCCATTTTTAAGCGGTGATACTCTTTTTTTCCCCAGCTTTATTGAGATATAGTTGACATATAGCATTGTATAAGTTTAAAGTGTGTAGTGTATTGATTTGATACTTTTATATATTGCAAAATGATTACCACCATAGCATAAAGCTAACACCTCATTCCATCACATACTTATTATTTCTTTTTTTTTTTTTTTCTTACTATTTCTTTTTTGTGGTGAGAACATTTAAGATCTAATCTCTTACGAACTTTCAAGTATATAATATGGTATTATTAGCTGTAATCATCTTGCTGTACATTAGATCCCCAGAAGTGGAACTTTGTACCCTTTGACCACATACCTCCCTACTTTTCCCACCTCCCAGCCCCTGGTGGCCACCACTCTACTCTGTGTTTCTCTGAGTTTGGTTTTTTTTTTTTTAGATTCAATATGTAAGTAATATCCTACAGTATTTGTCTTTTCTTGTCTGACTTCACTTTAAGCTCTGATATTTTAAAATGGTTTTTGAAAGGTCACTCATGAAATTTATTAGTGAATTATTTTAACTTGATGGTTCAAGATAATTTTTTTAAAGGATCACTAGTGTATAAAATGCTAAGCAGAAAGTGGGGAGAGTTGTAGCGGAAGCTGTGAGATAGGAAGGGAGGATGCTTATTTTAAGAATCTTTAATATACCTCATGGTGATGGGAGAGCAAGGAAGTAATATATATTAAAATGTAAATCTGTTACCCTTCATTCACTCCCTTTTGCTCAGTGGTTAATGAAGAAGGTCCTTAATTTGGTCCCTGGTGCCCTGCATGGTCTGCTCCTACCTATCTCATTGGCTTCATCTTATACCATGCCTACTTTCCCCAGATAAACTTAAGAAGATGGTGACTTGAAATGTAAGGTGGTTTATGAATTTCACTTTGCCTGCTATCCTGTTATAAACAGGGATTAAAAAATCTCATTCTGTTGGCTTTGGTTAAATGGAGCCAGGGAATAAGTAAAACACCCTAGATAGACTTTCTGGGCTGGAATTCTGCATTTACTCTTCATTAACTGTATGGAGATATTTTTCTCATTAACAGGTTTCTCCACATATAAAAATCTATTGTAAAAATACGGAAAATAATGGCAGCGGAAACGCAGACACTGAACTTTGGGCCTGAATGGTGAGTTTTCAAAATCTCATCCTATTTGATATTGGATATACTACTAGTATAGTAGTAAGGTATTTGTACAGATGTTGGGTGGTTTATAAATGTACATGTTTTTGAGACTTTGATTTTTGTGCCTAGTTGAAATCAGTGTAGTTTATCTAGGAATAAATTACTGTTTGGTTAATGACTGCATTCTGTATTTAAAAAAACTTTCTTGGTCTGGCTTTGTAATGATAATGGAATTTTCTTGGTCTGGTTTTGCACTGATAATGGTTATGTAATGATGATTGACTCCCTGCAGTCCCACCACCCTAGCAAATTACTTGCTTTTTCATTTGAGCCCTTGTCTAGGTGCATATAAAATTTTACATATAATTGTAACATTTTTATCTGTGTATGTTTTCTGCTACAATGCTGTTTTGTGAGTGCTATTCATAGACTTATTTGAAAACATAGTTCTTACTGAATTATTATTTGAATTTTATTTTATTGATGGGCTAGGCAGGTGGTCCAGAATTACACTGGCTATTAACTGTAGCTCATCTAAGATTGGGATAGCATTTGCCATAATAACAATTCATTGACCTTTGAGTCTCTTACAGATGTGTTTGGACCCTGAATATGGAATTCTCATGGAATTTTGAGATCCATCACATTGTAGTGTGACTTTTCCCCCCTCTTCTTCTTTTCCCCCCAATGTTGGTGATTGAAGATCCTCTCGTCAGTGGCATGAATAGTTGCTTTTTCTATTCTATTCCAGAAGCAGTATATAAAGTAGATAGGTGTCTTAAACATTCCTGATTGTTTAGGTGAAAAATGATGCAGACTTCTGTAGTAACTCTCTGTTTGAAGACACTTATTAACTTATTTTATGCATTTCTTTTTATATGTAATTTCTAAATTTTCTTGGCCCTTATAGCTAGCATTTGGAGACTGAGGAGAAATCACTACTTGAAGTTCTAAGAACTGATGCAGCTTCTCTACTTTGAGAATTTATTTTGAAAATGTTGACCTAAGTAATGCTGTACCTGTTTTAGTTCTTAGTTTGTATTTTAAAAATAATTTTATTACCATATTAGTATATGTTTTTAAAGAAATTAGAGATTACAAGTAAGCCAGAGGAAGATATAATCACCATAATTTTATCATCCATGATATAACCACTGTAAATAGGTTAGTTTATCTCTGCAGGTGGTTTTATGTATGCTCATTTGTGTATATGTACATTTATTTTCACAAAAATGGGATCATACTGTACATTCAGCTTTGTAACCTGCTTTTAAAAAATAACCACTTCAAAAGTATCTTTTTTTTATCAATAAATGTTTTCTATTATCTTAAATGGTTGCATTGTATGATGTACCATCATTTATTTAGTCTTCTAGATGTAGCATATATAGGCTGTTTTCAGTTTTTCATTATTATAAAATATTTTTGATGAACGTTCTTGTAGCTAAATCTTTATTCACATCTTACTGACTTTATAAGGTGGGTTTAAATCCATATAGCTCACTTTGTAAACCATTTTGTGTGTAACTCTTCTGCCTTTATCTAGAATTTTGTAACTGCTTCTCTTTTGTATTTACACACTTTCTTTGTAAAAACATGATTAAACTTGTCAGCTAACTTAAGGAAGTTGTTCCCCCCCGCCTTTTTAAGAAAAAGAGACAACACTAGGAATTTAGCCTAAACAAAAGGAGAAACTGCTGGAGATGTTCTAGAGTCAGTACACGTTAAGCTTGCTGCCCTATACCGTGGATTGACAAACTATGGCCTGTGGGACTATAAATAAAGTTTTTATGAGTAAATTTTATTGGAACATAGCCACACCCATTTGTTTCCGTATTATCTGGCTGCTTTCATACTATAGTGGCACAGTTGAGTAGTTAAAGCAGAGGCCGGCCATCTGGCTTTAAAAAGCTTACATATTTACTCTGGTTTTCTGCAGAGAAAAGTTTTTTGGCCCCTGCCCTAAACCATGGGCTCCCAAAGTCATTTCAGTATGTCATTGGCCCAGTCTATCAGTAGCACTATACACATTTTTTCATTGGTACTCTGAAGTTTTGTTTGATCAGCCCAGGTTTTATACAGAATTTGAAGTGAAGTAACTTTAGTAGAGGACAGTTACCAGTCCCATGCTTAAACAGTAGCTTTACCTAATTGTTACCCTGCAGGCATTATCAGAGCTTAGAGTCCTTCCCTTAGTCATCTGAAATGCTTTTAAACCGAGGAGTGGAGGTCTAAGTAGGCACACTGCCTTTTTCGTACCATCTATCACAATTTTTTTCTGGCAAAGGGAATATATGAGACCCTTAAGTAACTCTGGTAACCCTGAGCTAGAAGCTGTAATATGAATAGAAGCTGCTACTGTGTTTCTCTGCATGTAACATTACATTCATTGTGGAACTTAGGGAGGTAAGGAGCTCTGTCCAGAATACCTGAGAATCAAAATTTAGAGTGATTGCATTCCATCAGTGTATTAACTCTGAACCATACAGAAACTAATTCAGTGATGCTTTATTCTGTTTACTAAGATCATTTTTATTATGATGTAAAACATAAATGTTCAATCAGAGTTGGATGAAATGAACAGATTTACTGGTACTTGGGAACTTAGTGAAGATGGAAGAATGTTGAAAATTGTGATAGAGGGGCGCCTGGGTGGCTCAATTGTTAAGCGTCTGCCTTCGGCTCAGGTCATGATCCCAGGGTCCTGGGATCGAGCCCCGCATCGAGCTCCCTGCTCGGCGGGAAGCCTGCTTCTCCCTCTCCCACTCCCCCTGCTTGTGTTCCTGCTCTCTCTCTCTCTGTCAA